CTTACTCAATAGTGCGATGATGGATCTTTCGTTTGAGAACCCTTGGGATAAGTTGCGGGCCCTGAAGGACCTCATGTATGAAGTGGCGGAGGAAGTTAAAACCCAGATTCGTGCGCGTCCTGTCGACTCCCTCGAAAGCAAGCATCTTCGTGTTCTTCAGGCCTTACGTGGATGGAGATCAGGGGACACCTTTGCGATTGATGCCGCTATTCGTGCCTACCCTCAACTTCAATATTATTTCCCCTCTGGGCTTACTCACGGCGTCAATGTCGACTCTCTTTGCCAGCACGTTCAGAATTTGCATCTCTTCCTTCTGGATGCGGAAGAGCAAGAGCTTCTGCATGCCCAACACCACCTCTCCCCTGATACTCTGGATAATGCCACAGCTCGTCTTGGTCGTCGTCGGGACCTGTGGGCCAAGATGCGTCGTCGCACCTTTCTCCAAGGGACTCTCAATGCCAATGGTGAAACCAGTGTCTCGCAAGAGGAGGCTGCCCAGGCTTTGCAGCATCACCGGCAAGCCATCTTTGCGGAGCCGCAGGAAGATCGTTCGATGCGGCAGGAGCTTTCGCAGCTTATCCCTTCTATTGGGCAGGCACCTGCTCCGCATGCGCTTGATACTCTTCGGGGGGAAGGCTGGATGATGAGCGAGGAGGAATGGGAGATCTTGATACGCAGCAGGGTGGATAGTATGCCGGGGGAGGATGGGATCCCGTACTCTGCCTGGCGTGCGGACTGTGCTACGAATATCCTGTACGAGTGCTATAGTGAGCTTTTCCGCTCGCCCAGTGGTGGGATCCCCGCCGGCATGAAATCCAGTCTCCTGGTCTTTCTGCCCAAAAAGATCCTTGGGTCGGAAGTTGGTGAACACGTTTTTCGTCGTCCTTCGGTTGCCCGCCCCCTGAGCATGGCAAACACGGATGCCAAGGTGCTTTCCGCTGCGATGGCGAGGGTTCTCACCATTAAGGTCTCGCTGGGCGGGTTTCTTGGGCCTGCGCAGAAATGCTTTCGCGGGAGGGACATGCTTGTGAATGTCCTTGAAGCTGAACAGTACCTCCTTCGGAAACATCTTCGTGACCGTTATGCCTCTGGGATGGTTTTTTTACGGACTTCGAATCGGCTTTCCCTTCGATTCATATCCCGCGGGTGCTTTTTGTTCTCGAAAAGATGGGGCTTCCGACGGCCATCATTTCCTTCTTTGGGGCGCTGTATTCTGACAATCAGGCGGTGGTGACTCTTGGTGGGTCCAAGTTTGGTTCCTTTCCAGTGGGTCGGGGCGTTCGACAAGGCGACCCGAGTTCTATGTTTTTATTTGCCCTGGCCATCGAGCCTGTTTTTCGATGGCTACCCTGGGAGATTCCAGGGCATATCGAGCTGACGCTTGCGTATGCCGATGACCTGTGTTTCGGCCTCCGCTGCCTGTTCGATGGAGTTGGTCCGTTGTTTGACTGTTTGAGCTGCCTGAGAGATGCGATGGGCCTCTCACTCAACTTCCCGAAGTGCCAGATTCTCCTTGTCTACCGTAACCTGCTCGAGCCATTGCTTGACTTGTTTGAAGAGCTTGGCGACCCCTTCCCAACGCTCGAGGTGGCCACGCGTCTTAAGTATTGTAGTGGCCTTCGGCCAGTGCCGCCGATCCGGGTCGCTCGGGGTTATTCTCCAGACGCAGAAATTATGGGCGCACACTCAAACGCACACACACAGTCACACCACTTAACCTGCGCCGCAGACATGCGCACACAGCATCACCCACACACACATACTAGTTGGGAAACGCTCCTGTAGTACTAGTAGTAGTATTAGTAGTAGTAGTAGTAGTAGTAGCAGTAGTAGTAGTAGTAGTAGTAGTAGTAGTAGTAGTAGTAGTGGTAGTAGTAGTAGTAGTAGTGGTTGTGGTAGTAGTGGTAGTAGTAGTAGAGGCCTCGTTCCGCGGCTTCTCTCGACTTCCCGCGGTCTCTCTCAAGTTTCGAGCACGCGGTGAGTTTCACGATATATGTGTGTGTATGTACGCGTGCATGCATGTATGCATGCATTGATCATGTGTGCCTGTGTGTAGGTACGTATGTATGTATGTATGCTTGTGCGCGTATGTATGTATTTAGTTTGTATGTATGTTTGTATGTGTGTATGATAATATGTGTGTATGTGTGTGAATGTAAGTATGTATGTCTGGAAGATTGTTTTTCTATGTATGCAAATGTGTTTAAATGTAGGTATGTATGCATGTGTGTATGGATGTGCGTTTGAAGAGCGAGGATGTTTCAAAGAAGAGGCACTCGGTGACGCGATCGTTGAGGGATAGGAGTGAGGTCGCAGAGGAGGAGGAGGAGAATGAGGAAGAGGCGATAACTTGAAGGAAAACGATGAGACGGAGGACATCCTGCCGGTGGCGCCCTGGGCGGTGCCGCGGAAGAAACCGGGGGCCTGCCGGAGGCAGTCTGGAGGCCTCTGGGGAGCTGTTTTGGGGCCTCTTGGAACCTCTTTTGGGCCTCTTGTGGGCTTCTTGGGGCCCCTTGGGGGTCTCTTGGGGCCTCCTGGGGGCCTCTTGGGGCGGAAAGCTCGGTTCTTTCGGTTCGTGGTCCCCCTCTTGGGCCCCTCTTGGGGCTCTCTTGGGGCCTTCTTGGGCTGTCCAGAGGCCCTCTTGGGCCGTCTTGGGGCCCTCTTGGGCCGTCTTGGGGCTCTCTTGGGCCGTGTTGGAAGCATCGTGGGCCGTCTTGGGACGGACTTGGGGGCCTCTTGGGCCGTCTTCGAGCGTCGGACGCCCGAAAAGGCAAGAACGCTAAAAACCCTGAGAAAACCAATGAAAATCAACGATTCTGGCCTCTTGGGGCCCTCTTGGGAGGCCTCTTGGAAGCTTCTTGGGGCGTCTTGGAGACACCTTGGGCCGTCTGGAGGCCATCTCGGGCGTCTTGGAGCGATTTTTCGGCGACTCGGGGCCCTCTTGGAACCCCTTGGGGGTCTCTTGGGCCCCCCCCCTCCTCCAAAGCGCCGGAAAAAGCGGAGCATGGCGCCCCCCCCCCCCCTATCTTCCACTCCCCCGGAGCGGCCCCGGGGTTCGCCGGAAACTCGCACCCCCCCCCCCCCCCCCACCCCCCCTTCCCCGGCAGAGCCACCCCGGCGACCCCCCCAGAGGCTGAAGCTCAGCCTCGAGGCTGTAGCTGAGACTCCTTGAAACTCACACGCCGGATCGGCGGATTTGGGAATGTGGATTGGGGAGGATGCTCAGGAGGTGGTGTGGAATGAGATCATTGTTAAGCTTAGCAAGCGCACGCGTGAGATTCGTGATCTTGGCCTTGGCTTGGCCCAGTCTATTGTTCAATTTCAAGCCTTCTGTGTTTCGTTGGTGTATGTTGTTGCCCAGCTCTTCCCTCCCTCCAAATCGTTATGTGACACATACCGCTCATGTGTTCGTTTGTTGACTGCGGGACCTAACAACGCTATATCCTATGACATGTGTATCTCTTTGAAGCAGTTTGGCCCCCCTCTTGAATTCCTTCATCTTGAGCAGATTGCGGCAGCCACTCGCGCGAGATATATTGCCCGCTGCAACGGGCTCGGCCGTCTCAGGAGCGAGTTTACCAATATTGCTACGGATGATGACTGGTGCCCTGCTCGGCGAATTTGTTGGCCGTGTCCCGAACTCGTTCCTCACCTCCCTCTAAACATATCAGGACTGGATCATCGCTCAGAAGTTTGTGATCAAGTTTGACCGGCCTGATGTTCAGAAGCAATACGTACAGAAGCTCGCCTTGATCTACCGTCCCCGCTCTCTTCCTCTCGATCTTCTTTATCGACGTCTCTGCGCCTGGATTCCTGGAGTCCCTAGGCTGGAGGTAGTGCGTTTGGCACCGAAACTTCGTACGGTAGCGACCCGTACCAGCATGTATCTTCCTCTTGCGGTTATTCGGCTTCTGCCCCGTTCCCTCTGTGCCTCGTCACGTTTTCATGCGGCTCCTCGGGGATGTTTCTTGGGATGTTCCTCTTGCACGGATGATCTGGACGACCTCAAACACTACTGTCGTTGCGAACCCCTTCGTTCTCTCTTTTCTTGTTGGATGGGCATTTGGACTCCGAGCCCCTCTGAGGGCTTGCCCTGGCTCTACTCGTACCTCCTTTTTCCGAGAATGGGACCTGACCGCTGTCTTTTGTCTGCTATGCTCTGTGATGCCTTCATAAGTACTCATCATTATTTCCGCCTTCGTCTCCCTGGAACTCGTGAGCAACACTTTGAAGCCCGTCTTCGTGTGCTTGCCCGTCGGCATGCCGCTACGCGCAGAATCTGGGCCAAGCTTGGTCGCGACTTTTCCAGGCGTACTTAGATGCTTTCCTGACGCGAGGTGTGGCGCCTGCCTGCCGTTCGCGTTGAACTGTTGGAGTGGGCGGGGGCCCTCCTCAGTTGCGAGTCGCTCGAGACAGTGTGCTCATTGCTCCCTGTTCCTGCTGCTGTGGGTGACTGTTCCACCTTGGACGGTTACCACGGGCATGTGGTCGCTTGTCGTCTGCGTGTGGTGCCGCATGGGACACCTGGAGCCCCTTGAGCGCCCCTGGTCCTCAAAAAAACGATTTGTGAGTCATCATTAGCAGCATCGCCGGGTCTGTCAGCACCCATGGCTAAGAACCAGAATCGTGCCTGGTCGCAGATACCCGTCCCTCTCATCCTCATGATGGTGTCAGCTTGATGCATGGCTAAGATGGGCCTGCCGTCTCCTCGTCGGCCATCACACATCTTGCCTTTCTTCCTTCATTCGTGCCCCTCCTCCTTTACCCACTCCCGTTCGTGGAGCCAGACGGTTCCGATTTGTTTTGGTGTTCGCTTCCTGGTGCTGGGCCACTTTCTGCGCGTATAAGCCACCGCTGGAGGCGGCTGTGGGGATCTCTGTGTCTTCCAGCCTCTTGAGCAGCAGTCCGCGAGAGCCGCTGCTACCCTCGCCACTCTCTGTTGGCGTCATCTCGTGATCCCGCTGAACAAATCATCCTTGGCCCACTGGCTGCCGTCGCAGGCCGCGGAGGAGGAGGACTTCGGCCTCGCCTCCGAACTCAAGACGCGCGAGCGGCACCTGCGAGAGGCGCCGCCGCCCTTGCGAGGGACAGCAGTGTGCGACGGCAAGGGTGGAGGGAACGAGAGGAGAGGGAGAGGGTGCGGGACTGATGCCACAGAGGACGGTTGTGGTCCGGACCGTTGCGGCCAAATGGAGGACGGCAACAATTCGCAGGACGGACGCCAGCAGCACAACGATGGGCATCAGCACAGGACAGCGTTGAGCGTTCTGGCCACCTGCGAAAGCAGTTCTTGCAGCCATCCCCGCGACTTCGGCGTCGAGCTCGCAAGTGCGCTCGATCCGTCTTACGCGCCGCAGGGGAGTTCGACCAGATGTTTGGATTGCAAGTTGCACAGACGTTACAGTGGAGGCGGACGCAGCTCAGAAAGAGGCCTCGCTCGGAGAAAACGGCCAGGTTAGATTGCGAAGGCCTTGCGGCTGGTGCCTCCAACCCTGAAGGGAGACGACGATCATGACGACACGGCGGCGGCGACGACGACTACGACGACGCTGACGTGGGCCAGAGTCCTCAGGGATGCTCCTTGGGGTCTCGTCGGAAGGCTCTCGGGGGCCTATGGGGAGGAATTTTGGGCCTCTTAGGAGCCTCTTGGGGGCCTCTTCGGGCTTCCTGTGGACCTCTTGTGGGCCTCTTGGGGCCTCTTGGGAACCTCCTGGGGTCTCCGGGGAGCCTCTCGGGGCCGAGGGCTCGAAATGTCCTTTCGGGTTCCCCGTCTGGGCACGTTCCTGGAGTCGTCTTGGGAGCCTCTTGGGCCGTCTAGGAGGCGTTTTCGGTTGTATTGGGGTCCTCTTGGACTGTTTGGGGGCCCACTTGGAGGCCTCTTTGGCCGTCTTGGGGCGATCTTGGCGGCCTCTTGCGCCGTCTTGGAGCGGAGAGTAGTATTCATATGGTGTAATAGTGGAGGGACGGAGAGGATGTTTTGGGAAAGCAAGAACCCCACTCAGGATGTGGGGAAAAAGGGTGAGTTTGCCCAACATTGTGACACTGCGGCCGGACGTAATAAAAGGGCGTCCTTCGGCCCAACCTGACCGGACAAGAATGGGAAGCGTCCTTTTGTGTCGTGGGTTATGAAGTATCCTACGTTCTTAGTATGCGCTGCGCAAGTCTGTCTTGGCATGCGTGCATTTGCCCGTGCGCGTGCGTGAGTGGAATATGTGCATGTGTGTCCGTGCGTGGTGGTCTGCGGCACTGTTGTGTTCTGCCGTGCTGCCCTGCCGTGCTCCTGCGGTCTGCGTGATCGTATGTTGCCTCTCTGTGTGTACGTGTGTGTGTGTGTGTGTGTGTGTGTGTGCGTGAGTGTATGTGTCTGTGTGAGCGTTTGCGTGTGCGTGTGCCTATGTGCGTGTGCCTGTGTGCGTGTGCCTTTGGGTTCGGCTGTGTGAATAGATGTTTTATGTGTTCTGCCGTGCTCCTGCGTGTTTTTGCCGTGCTCCTGTGTGTTTTGCAGTGCTCCTGTGCTTTCTGCCATGGTCGTGCTCTGCCGTGCTCCTATGTGTTCTGCCGTGCTCCTGTGTGTTCTGCCGTGCTCCTGCGTGTTTTGCCGTGCTGCCGGTTGTTTTGCCGTGCTTTTATGTATGTTGTGTGATTTGCCGCGCTCCTGTGTGTTCTGCCATATGCTCCTGAATGTTCCGCCGTGCTCCTATGTACTCTGTGTGTTATGCCGTGCTCCTGTGTGTTTTGCCGTGCTCCTGTGTTTTCTGCCATGGTCCTGCTCTGCCGTGCTCCTATGTGCTCTGCCGTGCTCCTGAATGTTCTGCCGTGCTCCTGTGTGTTCTGCCGTGCTGCTGGTTGTTTTGCCGTGCTCCTATGTGTTTTGTGTGATATGCCGCGTTCCTGTGTGTTCTGCCGTGCCGTGCTCCTGTGTGTTCTGCCGTGCTCCTACGTACTCTGTGTGTTCGGCCGAGCTCCTCGTGCTCCTGCGTGTTCTGCCGTACTCCTGTGTGTTCTGCCGTGCTCCTGCGTTTTCTGCCGTCAGTTCTGCCGTGCACCTATGTGTTCTGCCGTGCTCCTATGTGTACTGCGGTGTTCTGGTGTGTTCTGCCGTGCTCCTGCTTGTTCTGCCGTGTTCCTATGTGTTATGTGTGTTCTGCCGTGTTCCTGCTTGTTCTGCCGTGCTCTGCCGTGCTCTGCCGTGTTCCTCCTGCTCCTGTGTTCTGCCGTGCTCCTGTGTGTTCTGCAGTGATCGGGTGTGTTCTGCCGGGTTCCTATATGTTATGTGTTTTGTGTGGTCTGCCGTGCACTTGTGTGTTTTGCCGTGCTACCGTGTGTTCTGCCGTGCTCCTATGCATTCTGTGTGTCCGGCCGTGTTCCTCGTGCTCCTGAGGGTTCTGCCGTGCTTCTGTGTGTTCAGCTGTGCTCCTGTTTGTTCTGTCGTGCTCCCGTGTGTTGTTTGGGTTCTGCCGTGCTCCTGTGTGTTTTGCCGTGCTCCTGGGTGTTCTGCCGTGCTCTCGCGCGTTCTGCCGTGTTTCTGCGTGTTGGGTTGCCGTGATCCTGCCCATTGTCTGAAGATGTCTCAGGCGAAAAGTTCACTTTTGACACACATGATCTTGAATCAGCCACTTGAGCATCTCCCTGTTCGAGGATGTTTCAGGCGATACCGCCATCTCCATACGTTTGTTAAATTCGCTGTTTTAATTTGCGGGTGGATGTCTCAGGCGAGACGCTTGTGTTTGTGAACGACGGTGTTGCGAGCAACTCGTTTTGGTGAGGATGCCTCGAGGCAAATGCAAAATTTAAGGAATCTCGAGGGCGCTCCTGGGTCATATTGAGCCTCGTTCGGGGCTCGTGGCGGCCAGGCTTTCGAGGATGTCTCGGGCGAAACGCATGTTATTCTCAAGCGCGACGTCGCGAACATGTCATTGTTGTGATGATGTCTCGGGCGAAATCGCTATTTCGAGGAACACTTCTCGACATGAACGGGAAGCGCGTGAAATCAAATAGTTAGGCAAGAACGTGCACCAACATCAACTTCACATGTCGTGTAGGCGCACTTCCCGAACGTCCACAGTGGGTGCCAGGTGGACTTCGCTATCCGCGCAAGTTTAGACGTGCTGCTGACCCCGGATGCCCACAAAAAACAGATGCAGATGGAGTTCACGACCCGCGCAAATTCCGACGTGCCGCTCGCCCCGAACGTCCGCAATGGATACCAAATGGAATTCGCCATCCGCGCAACTTCAGCCACCGCTCACCGCGAACGCCCACAAAAAATACCAGGTTGAGTTCACTGCCCGCGCGAGTTTAGACGTCGCGCTGACCCCGAACGCCCACAACATATACCAGGTGGAGTTCTCTACCCGCCCGAGTTCAGACGCGGCGCTGACAGGAGAAGAAGGAGGAAGAGGAGGCGGAGGAGGAGGAATCCTAGACGCTACGCGCATCCCCGCCAGCCATCGAAGGCGGGGAAGGGCGTGCCGCCAAATCACCAGGGGCAACCCCACGCGCGCGGAGAGCCGCAGAGCCCCCTGGAGGGACGTCAGGATCGCTCAGCCACACTACGAGACCTGAACGACCCCATGGGTTGCGGCCCCATGTACAGATGCACCGTCGCAACTGCAGACGTGGAGAGGGACGAGCCCATACAGGACAAGATTGCGCGCCTGCAAAAGACGCTGCGAGGCGCTTTCAATGGCATATGGCACGCACGGGTTAAGCGGGCTGCCCTGAGGCAGGATCCCAGTGGAGGCCACAAGAGCAACCCCAAGCTGAACGCGCCCCAGACGTGCGCAGATTTCCTCGAGGCTTGGAGCAACGCAGGCCACGGTGCCTACCGGATGGATGGTGAACTCGGGCTCGGCGTAAATTGGGCAGCATTTCGGGGCAAGCACATGTTTCCGTGCGTCGCGACGCCCGCGCGCACGCCCCGCGCGACTACGGCAGCAGCGACGAGCCCGCCCCATGGGCAACCGAGGGCAGAGCTGCCGCTCCCGCGGCTGCACAGGGCCGCTGGGCTGGAGCCATCGGTGCAGCAAACCCCGGCCAGTGGCAGGGCTGGCAGGAATGGGCCGCGCGGGCTCGTCGCGAAGCCCCATGGGCGGACTCAGATTGGAAAGGAAGGGGCAAGCGGCACTCCCCATAGGGGGGGCGACCGATACTCGGACAAGCGCGCCCGCTGGTGGGCAAAATACGACTCCTACACCCAAGGCTGACTGCGCCGGAAACGGCCCACCTCAGCATCCCTGGTTTTCCTGCCCAAGGGAACCTGCCCCCCCCGTCATCGGCCCCTCCTCGCCCAAAAGGGGCCAGTTTCACCTCGCCGCGCCCGGCTCGGGCCGCAATGCCTACCTATAGGGGCGACCTCCGCCGGGGCGCTGGCTAGCCCCGCATCTCACCCGCGGCGCGGCATAGCTAGACAGCCCACGCTGGACAAGTGGACCTGCCCTCCTTTTCGGGCCCGACGCGGAGGGCCCCCCCCCGGCACCCGACATCTCACCCTCGCGGGCACGGCGGGGCCGGCTCGGCCCCGGCAGACAGGCCCCGGGCTCGCGCGCTTTGCTGTCCGACGACGACAGCCAACCCGCTCGCCGGAGACGGGGGGTCGGCCATCGCATCCCCCCCGCCTGCTCGGCGGCGGGCTCGACCTAGCCAGGTCACAGCTTTGGCAAGTGCAGACTTCAGCGGCGGTTATAGCTGCGACCCTGGAGGACCAACGCCCACCATCCCTGCAGAAGTATCACTCTCCGCAGGGACGGACCAGCATGCAGCGCAGCCTGAGGTCCACGTAGGACCCCGCCCTCCCTCGGCCTTTACAACCTTCGAAGGACGCACCCACCATTTCGTTGTCTTGAGCGGCGGTTAGCTGCGCCCCTGGAGGAACCTTCGACCCCTTCCCCTGTCCCACGGATTCGGGGCCAGACCGATGGGGGGGGCGGCGCCCCCCCCGCCTCTCCCCTCTTGGGCCAGGCGGGTGTCCCCCGCCTTTGGCCCCGGGGCCCGCCAGACGTACTGTCCGACGTCGGTGGTGCTGCCCCCCCCCCCAGGGCCGCCCGCGCCCCTCGCTGCGCGGGGT